ATCGCAAGTCGCACAAAAAAGGGGGAAGCTTGTCAGAGATTACAGGCTGTCTCAGCTTCAACCACTCTTAAGATCTCAGATGTCTCTCTTCCTGCCAATCGGGTGACAGAATAGAATCCTAGTCAACAAGATTTTAACACCCTGTTACCTGATTTTGTTCTTTCCTTTTTTGATTCTTTCTGCTATCACTTTTCTTTCTACATATCCATTGAAGAATGCTCTTCAAAGACAGAAATGGAATCGGGTTCATAGAAATAGAGAAAAAAAGAACATTGACAATAAAATAGAAACAACAGGAAAAGAGCCAGGGAGTGTACCTATAGAGCGGCAAGCAATCTTGTCACGCGCTTGCGTGCACCTCCAACCCCCCTTTTACGCCCCAGCTAGGTAGCCCCAGAGTGGGTGCAGATTGTCATCAGAGATTACTGAACCCCTCGGTGTGAGATGTGACACAAGACACTATGAGCGTAATCTGGGTCTACCCAGGAGCCTGGCTGCTAGATCGGTCGTGTGCGAGTGACTGTCTCTAGATGGCTGATCGTCAGACGTGAGCTGTTAGTTTTGGGTTTGCTAATTAAGCTTGTTAGACATGAGATGAACGGACTATCGATCCTGTCCTCGTTGACTCAAATAGGGAAGTTATACGTACTGGCACTAGGAGGCTTTGAATGTGTACAGAGATTCTGTCTGGCGAGAGTGGTCGGGAGGAGCTGAAATACTGGCCAAGTACGCATCTGTGAAGCTCTCTTAGCTCAGGCATTGACAAGGACCGTATTTTTCTCTGGAGGTTTGTCAATCTTCAGCTCGCTTACCAAGAACATATGGTGAAGTGTGGCTTTCTTGTCAATTGTATGATGTTTTTCTGCCCTGAGTTGAAAAGCATTCTCCCGCATCACTCCTCAAATTCTGAGGCTAATCCATTACCTCGTCGCACAAGTTGCTAGCATTGCTTGCCTGCGCGGTGGCATCACTGATCATAGGTAATAACTGCATGATGAGACTTAGGGGACCAGCGATGCCAGTTAAACATATTCAAAATCTGGATGAAGCAACGTGAACCTCGAAATCTGTCGAGAGCAAAAGAAACTTCTAGACAGCAATCTTCGGGTTGCAGATACCGGAAAACTTACTTTAGTTGCTACCGTCGGCGTTGGTGTCTGCGTTGCTGCAGTTATTCGGGACTCAGACAACTCAAGAGTATCTCTTGAGTTAACAATTATTACCACTTAACTCAATTAGACACTGACTCTCAGTTTTTGATAGCAAACAGTCCAGCTACGCGATTGCGCCTAAACTTCAACACAAACTGACACTACAAAACTGTCACGTTTACAACGCCAGACAGGAAAATACACCGACCAAACTCTTCCCAAAGACTCCTCGTTGCTGCTGCGTTAAAAGCAACGAAGTTGTCTCTTCCCTACAACCGACCCACATTCTTCACTCATCTTCAAGACTGAAGAAAGCATATCGCACCCAAAAGGCTTAACCTCGGCAAAACCAAAAGGCCCACCAACCAAACGGCCGAGACATCGGCGCCCGAGCACCACCTCGGATTGCCGATGTTATCCGAGTCAGCACGCCGCCAGCTCTCCGAGCCGAAGCCAAACTCACGTCCGAGGCCATGTAGCCAGCACGACCGCTAATTGGTTTGTCAAGTCCGCAGATGCCCCACGCTTGAGGCGAGGCTGAGAACTTCATGAGAATGATGCCGTTTCGTTCGGCGCAAGGCTATATGTACTCCGAGCAACGTCGGTGATAGTAGATACCTGATGACAATGCGAAACTGGTTCGAGGGAACACGAGTCGTCGAATAGCAGCGCGGGCATTCGTCATCAATAGATAATGGACTAAGCTTAGAATCTGGGGCAATTGTCACCTTGAACATATAAAAGAGAGCACATGGGGCCAGTGGAGCTTGGTCAGATCTTGTTCAAACAACGAAAAAGGAACTCATATGCTTTGCGTGACTCCTATGCTACGTACAACTGGTACAACTACAATCTCCCAACAAGACCGAGCCTTCCTCCCAGTGTCCAAAACAGAAATCTATTCCTCCGCTTGTTTATGCAATTCGACCGCGTCGGTGGTATCTATCTCCGTCCCAGTCTCGCCTCATTTCGAGTCTAATCGCGTTGTCGGGGGAAAAGGTAGGTAAATAGGGGGTCGTTTTGAGGAAGGTGGGAAGCCGCCCGCTGTGGTTGGTTTATCGTATAGCTACAGGGATGGTGGTTTGTGTGTCTGTAGCTGTATTTACAAGGTATCCATCTTGTCGAGGATGGCCTTGGTGAACTGGTGGGTGGTGGCCTCACCGCCCATGTCACGGGTGCGGACCTGGCTGTTGGGTTGTTAGCAGCTATTCTCATTGCAATCCCAGGAGACGAAAGAACTTACCCCTCGGCAATGACGCCGTAGATGGCCTGGGAGATGCGGTTGGCGTGGTCATCGAGACCAAGGTGACGGAGAAGCATGGCACCGGACAGAATCAGAGCAGTGGGGTTGGCCTGGTCCTTACCCTTGATGTCGAGACCTACGTGACGGCAACCGGGCTCGAAGACAGCAACATCACGGCCCATGTTGCAACCGGGGACGATACCAGCACCACCGACAAGGGCAGCGCCGATGTTGGACAGAATGCCACCGTACAGGTTAGGCATGACCATGACATCGAACTGCTGGGGCTTGCTAACAGCCTGCATGGAGGCGTTGTCGACAATCATGTCGTTGACCTCGAGGGTGGGGTAGTCGTTGGCGACACGGTGGAAGGTGGAGCGGAAGAGACCGTCAGCCAACTTCATGATGTTGGCCTTGTGAATGCAGGTGACCTTCTTGCGGTTGTTGGCCAGAGCGAAGTTGAAGGCGAACTTGGCGATGCGCTCAGACTTGGCGCGGGTGATGATCTTGAGGGACTCGACGACACCGGGGACGGACTGGTGCTCAAGGCCAGAGTACTCACCCTCGGTGTTCTCACGGATGATGGCGAGGTCGACACCCTCATGGCGGGTCTGGTAGCCGGGAATGTTCTTGATGAGGGAGATAGAGGCGTAGATGTCGAGCTCCTGGCGCATGGCGACGTTGAAGGACTGGTGGCCGGAGCGCTCAATGGGAGTGTGAAGGATACCCTTGAGGCCGAGCTTGTTGCGGCGAAGGGAGGCGACGGACTCGCGGAAGAGGTCCTCAGTCTTCTCGGGAGTGGTGGTGTTGAGACCAGAGACCTCGACCTGCTCCCACTCAATGGGGACGTTGTCGGCCTTGAAGATGGTCTTGACGCTCTCGGCGACCTCGGCACCGATACCGTCACCCGGGATCAACGTGACCGTGTACTTGCCGCCAAACTTGGTGGGCTTGAAGATGTCAGAGCCGACCGTGGCGTAGGCGCGCGCGGGCTGCGCGGTGCGCAGAATCTGCGTGGGGGAGGATTGTTAGCCATTTGTCCGTGGGTTATCGTGACATATCTGGCTGCATGTGTGGCCATTTTCTGGTGGTCGTGTGCTTTGTGTGCTTGTGAATATGTCTGCTTCTCGTGTATTCCTTTCAAAACCTTTCATCCTGGCCGACGTCGTCATATTTTCTGCGTCATCTACCAGGTCGCAATTTGGTGCTTGTTGTTGTTGTTGTTGTTGTTTCTCCCCTCTTACATCGCAGCCTTGCCTCTGCGCTCACGATGCACAGACACACACCGAGAAAAAAACCACGTCGCGGCTTGCACAGCAGAAAAGGGACTCAATTGAGAGTTGGCAAAGAGGCGACGTACCTGCGCAGTGCGGGCGGATCCTCGGGAAAGCATCGTGACGGTCGTTGGTGCCTCGTGAGGGTATTCGCGGAGCAATAGATGTTGTTCGGGATCGGAGGAGTTGGGGAGTGGAAGAATTCAGAAAAAGAGTGGAATTCGAGAAAGGCAGAGTTGCTGGCTGTCAAATGCCGCAAGAGCAAGGTACCACGGCGACAGACGGGGACGGTAACTGGGAACGGTACACGGTCAAAGTACAGACCGAAGGTGGCAGATACTGACTGAGGCAGGCTTTTTTTTTCTGCTCCTGCTCTTTCTCGGCTGGCCGTCGTGCTTTCCGTTCTTTCTCTCCAACGCCTGCGCAGGTGGGGCACCATGGGGATTCCGTAAGTGGCTGGTCTCCAATTCTCTGCCGTTTCCAGTTATCTGAATGGCTGGAACTGATCATCAGACCCGCTTTATTCTTTTCCGGGCGGTCGGAAGAATGGAGGGCGACATCCGCGGGAAAGAGAGACTGCGCAGTGCCCGCGCCTGCTTCAATGTTCAGCCAGTGCAGCAGTTCTGTCACTCGGGAAGGGAAGGAACCAAACGTGGGGCACCTTGCCTTTTGCGGTCTTAGCGTCTCTATTCTCTCTTCTGCGCGGTTGAGCCTCGGATCTGGATTTACAGTATCCCACGACGTCACGTGTCTCAATTCAATTGTGACTCGCTCATTCTCATCTTTGGTTTATCAACTCACGTTGACCTCTCAATGAGTGCTCATATGTAGCCTCATGTGTTGATTTGAGGCTTCATCTCATCAGCAATCGTAGTTCTCATACGGGCGTTTTCGGTCAACGTCGGCTATCTCACATCTTAATGAGCCGCGCCTGCCCATCCTTTCCGGAGAAATCCCCGCCAGCCCACCTCTCCACTCCTTTTGTGAGACCGCCAAGTCGGTCTTAGGCCTCCCTGGCCGTATCTGCGATGTTGCGACTTCATTCGGCCGAGCGTGATCTTTACTCATTACAACACAGATACCAGCAGAATGAAACCCGCAGTTGTTATCTCGACAAGATCAATTTCAGCTTACAATATGATTCAATTTCGTCAAAATCAGGAAAAAGACCTAGTGTTTGGCCAGCATTCTCAGTCAAAGATTGCTGTGGCTGCGAAATCGCGGAGATATCCTCCCCAAAATATCACAACGGCTAGCCCAGCCAGCCTTTACATTGCCAATGAATGTGGTGAGTCCGTACGAGAGAAGCGAGTACGGCCCTGTCCCGACAGCTTAATCAAGAATGTCGATGCCATTGTAACCAGATGCTTCGACTCCCCACTCGAAACAGTCTGCAAACAAGCGTCCGCCATCGCTTTTGCCCAGGGGAGCTCCACCTATGATTCATCTCAGAATCAGCCAATGTGCCGTCTTCGCTATCCTGGACGCAAAGGGTACTTACAGTCCATATTCTCGATAGACAAGATTCGCTGCTGGCACATCGCCTCGTTGAGCCCGTCTACTTTATCCTCGATGATGTCTTGAACGGTCTTGCCCGCAGGACAAGCAATAGTATTGTTCCTCGGCTTGATCCAGAAGTGAATCATGCCGACATCGTACAGCTCGGTATTGTTCAACGCATCGTCGACCTGGCGGTTATAACTCGTGAAATAGTGTCCGTCCTTTCCACGTGAAACGTCCTTGACGAACTGATCGGCTCCTCGCTGTCGGATCGTCTTGATGGACTGTTCACAGAAATCCTTGACAATTGCTTTCACGGGCAGGTATGTCGGCCGGTAATCCTTGGTGTTCCAGCATTCTCCTCTTCCATTTTCCAGTACCCCTTGTTGCTGATATTGATACTCGAACTTTGCGATTCCGCAGCCCTCGTAGTTCATGTTAATCTTTTCATGCATCCAGAACTCATCGCCGCGGCCTATCGACATACCGTCAGTATTGCTCATCTAGGCGATGGCATGAGGCCGTAGTAGGACGTAAAGTAAGCTGATGGGGCCAGATTCACTTACACGAACCCGCGTTGCGCAAAGTGCTGAAGACTTGCACGCAGCTTCCTTGACAATCCTCACCCGTCTGTACCCAGTCGAAGGTGACTTTTCTAGCTCTGTCTATTTTGGCTTGATTGCCACCGAAGACGCCAGTCCATGGCCCGTCCGTCCAAGCTCCTCCCATCTTGGTTATTGTGCGGCACATCGTGTTGAGTAAACTGCGACGTGTCTGCTTCAGTATGCTCAATGAGCATTATGATCATGGGACAGGGTATCTTACGGCCACCAATTATAATAATAGACTTGCCATTTTTCGGGGCAGGTGATGTTGTAGACGGGAGCGTCATCCAAGTCTGAAAGCGAGATATCGTCCATTCCATTCATTCCCACTACGCTAGTAATGCTGTTCTCTTCGTAGTAGGCGTCGACGTCCTCTTGAGTGAGGATGAAAGTCTTCGTCGGGGCTGCGGGCTTTGCGGCTTCGGGGAGATCGACATCGACAACGTTCGTTGGAGAAGCCTGGGCGACGCCGAGCACAGCGGCGAGCACCCAGGGTAGGCTCAAGATGGCCAGCATTATGGGTGAGATCAAGATCCTGTGTAATGAGAGATGGGCGTAATGAGAAGTGCGATGCTTCAAAGCCAGAGCGGAAACCTTTGGATGATCGAGTACTTGATGATGATTATCTGGCGACTGCGATGAATTCGAATGATTGAATAGCTGAAGAGAAGAGGTTATGAGAAAGTTGGTCTTGTCATTGCCCCTTTTATCGTCGGCCGTATCGTCTCGAAACCACCAGCAACGCTTCAATATCGCCAATCATCGTCAATCATTGCTTACTCAGGAGATATAGTCCCTGATGATCTGTGTCACTACAAGAACGCTGGACACGATAACGAAGTTCCTCGAGGTGGTAAGAGCGAAAATTTTCAAACACGATGTTATCTTTTGCCTCTCTAAAGCTCGTCCCACCATCGAAAGAGAATCCAATAGGGATGCACGCCTTTCGTTCCGTGCCGTTGCAGTGTGACCGCAAACAAGGCCCTCGTCTAGAGCTCAAGACATCTCATCTCCCGGTCAAACTTGAGATCGCAGTCACAACTCCAATGGCACGAAATTTGATGACATTCAGGCTACGTCAAGGCAAACAAATGGTATTCATCTGGCCTAGGATGGCCAACACACAGCCACATCAGGAGGCACGGCATGGCACTGCATACCATGAACCCATGATTGCCACCCAATATTTGGGAAGCCATCTCCCGTGACCTAAATTATTCAGATCAACGAGTCAGTGCCAGGTTCGGAACTGAAGGCCGCTCGGGGTTCTCGAGCCGGGCCGTCACAGCTCATGCCTGGAGCCCGACTGAATGACTATACAGATATAGTTCCAGCTCCAAGGTTCTTTCTCTAGTTCCAGATCCATGGTATTTTCAGCTCGCACGTAGTTTACTATGACATCAAATGAGCTTAAGGCCATACACCTTGGGATGAAATTCCACCAAAGTTATGCTATCGCCCAAAGATTGCCCGAAGCGTGAAAGAGCAACATTCCGACGAAGTCGTCATACATTGTACAATGAATGCCTCCGAAACCACCGAGAATGAGACACGCTAAGTTGTAGTTCGACATCGTAATGGCAGTGTTGCGGACATTATGCCAAAGCGGCATGGTCATCGTGATATCAGGCAACCATTTCCCACGATCTCACGTTTGTCTCACGCCACGATATCCTGAGAAACTCAAGAGGACGAGTCGGAAGTGGTCCAATGCCTTTTCTAGCTGAATTCTTTGGCTCAAGAATGACTATTTTTAGGCGCCCGTAAAAGGGAACAGCAGACTTTGAGCAACTATCGTGGCATTTACCACAACTTCTTAGGTGACATGTGACCTCGATCAAGAGCACCAAAGCACTTAGCCGCATCTGTGTATCGGCAAAAGGCACCGCGGAAACCTCTCCATGGTTCCGATCTAAGATGTGTGGTCTGTTGTGTCCGAGGCGACTGTCCTCGTCCCGGATACCCGCAGGAACCTATCTCGTCACCGCCACACTCTGAACATTGAAATCCCCGGGCTTTTCTCCGCTGGGTAATACCAAGCATTTTCTACCGGCAAAGCGAGTGTACATAGTACCACTTGGCTTTATTATCTCTGAGCTCTCGTTGATGTCAAACTTCAAAGGTGAGGCTGTAGAGATTAGTTAGATATTCAACCCCCCAAGCGACAGTTGCAAAGGAAAGCCTGGAAGTACGCTTGCGTTCTACCAAATGCAGGTGGAGTGAAAATATTTAGATCAGGTGCCAGGTTGACTGATGAACGATATGGGCAATTTCATGCAGATGCTAGTTAGCTCGGCAATAGCTTGTCGAATAGATTCCAGGCTGTACCGTAAAAGAGCCTGCTACATGAACATCACCATCGACAACATAGAAGGCAACGTCATCAGGCTATCATCGAATTATAAGTACAGTGCTAGTTCTGGAGCTTCCGATACTGAGTCGAAATACGGCAATCATGAAGTTGAACCCGAGACCTATGAGTCCAGTGGTACCCAGACAGCGTCAAACGTGGTCAGACATCATCAACTTGAAAGCTATGACGGTCAGGGTTGACTTCGACTGGCTTCCACCTTTGGGGACTTGTGTTACGCGATGTAGTGGCCAGCCAGGCCAGGAGTCATGGTCGTGACTCCCTTCCCCTTGGGCTAGCTGTTCTCAAGTTCCTTCACACCGCACTGAGTGGTGGCGCAGCCATGCTTACATTTTGCCGAAACTTTCCATTTTGCCAAATCGTCTACTATGATTGCGTTGTTGCATAGTCACTCAAGAATACTGCAAGCATGAAGTTCTCGTTCCAATACAACTTATACTTCATGATCGTTAGATGTTGGAGTCTCAGTCAATGCATGGAGAGATGTATTGGATTTTCATAGTATCGTTATGATTCCTCATGATCTATGGTCTATTATGAATCCAGTAATTAAGTTTCAAAAGCACGTATGCTACGTGCTCGAGACGACCATCGAGAGCGTGGACCAGCCCTTCGCCACGCTGTCAAAGTAACATCAAATAGCTTTAAAATCAATGCCATGCCATTTAAACAAATATCCACACTCCCCAAGCGCCTCAGAAAGAATCACTGTTTCTGCGCAATGATTCTATAACTCGTCGTCACCAACCGCATGGTGTCCATCTTGACAAAGGCCTGCCCATCCAGACAAAGCCGGTTGATGAGCGTCTTGAAGTGGGGCGGCAGCAAGTGCACCTTGACCAGACCAAGAATAACCTGTCGCAAACTGCGAAAGTACACGTCGGCTTTGTCGATGAGTGGCGCCTGTAGTCCATCTATGCTGGCATTGTCCGACTTCAAAATAGCGAAACCAGCATCTTTCAAGGCCTTTTCGAAAGTTTCGGGCGTCGGTGTCCCCACAGCTCCGATCAGTGGCTTTGTCCGCCGCATCAACTCCGCGTGCTCCGGGTTCGTCGCATCGTACGCCGGGAGACTAACCCAATCCAGCAACGAAATCTTGGCGCCGGGCTTCAGGACGCGGCGCAGCTCGCTGAATAATTTCGGGAGGTCTTTGCACAGGCTAAGTGCCTGGATCTGGTAGAATGCGTCAAAAGAGTTGTCCTCGAAGGGCAGCGGCAGTTCGTTCATGTCCTGAATCGTGAAGCTGTTTTCCAGACCCATCTGCTCGGTGAAGTCCCTGGCCTGGGCGATCTGGTTCGGGTCAATGTTTAGACCGGTGACCACGGCGCCGGTGACAGCCGCCATGTGGGCCGCGACTCTTCCGCGGCCGCATCCAAGGTCCAGGACCCTGTCTCCCGGTTTCAGACCAATATCCTGGGCGATCGACTCCTCGTACAGCATCTGATTATCGAGAACGGACGCCTTCTTGTCCATCAAGGGAGGGATGTACATCTTCTCCACGTCACCTAGCGCGCAGAGGTGATTCAGGACTCCATAGTAAGCTTGCAAACAGTCGCCGACTTTGGTCTTGTAATCCGGGCCGAGCGTCTTAACCATCTGCTCCTCATCTGCCCAGTCAAGGCTGTAAATGACATAAGATGCCATAAAATCGTCAACTTGTTTTGGCGTCAAGTCGAGGAGGTACTTGAATGACTTCCAGAACGTCTTGGACCGCTTAGGCGATGCTGTGCGGTTGATTTCATGTTTTGCGCTGTTGTTGCTGTGGTCGCTATTGCTGCGGCCAAGATGCAGGCCGTGCTTCTTTTTCCATGATGCCTGGCGGGCGGGCTTCAATGTTGAGACGTCATCTGAGGTCTCGCTGGGACGGGGACTCGTATCACCGATGTGAGGTATTGTTGTCGCCGATGGCGGTTGCGCAATCGCTGCCGCTGCTGACATGACTGCTAGTGGAATGGCAGATGACGTGCGGCTGTAGGGAATTCAGGGGGCTTGTGGTTCTGTCCGCAGGTGAGAGGTAAGACGAACAAGAGAAGAGAGAAAATCAAGAGAGGCAGGAAGGCAAGCAAGCTGGGTATCACAGTGTGCATCCAAGAAATGATGGAGAGGCAAAAAGGGACAGGTGATGGGCGGCCCAAAGTCCTTTATACATAGTACTCTCATTTCTTTACTCGTCTGTTTGGCATTCGATCAATCATCAATGACCGAATGGCAAACCAACCAGTCAAAGAACGGAGAAAGATCTGACGGAGCCGCAAACCGGATTGCTTTCTAATCTCTCGTGACGCTGCTCGGGATGGACGGAGGTATGTCCGAAGATTCCGACTGGGTCCAACCATCACCAGACCACTTAAAGAGGACGGGAGCTCCAGCGCTGGGGCTAGCAGCCAGCCCATCATCAGCTAATAACACAAGGGGCCGGAAAAAGCAGCGCCTTGGAAAGCTCCGAGCACATCAAAATAGAGGGAGAGGCAAAGGAAAACCCGCGGGCAGCGGACACAGCGGACGGACTTGACTCCTGGCTTACGCGCTGAGTCACCTCCGGGGCCACCTGATAGTTCGATAAAGAATTTGTCCTGCGGTGCGGCGTGTGTGACTGTAAAGGTCCTGTCCGTGTCTAGACTCTACCGCATCGCAACAACGTCCGCTGTTGCATCGCATTCTGCGCCTCTCTCTTATTTGCCCTTGTCCATTGGCTCCTCTGTCCCGCTATTTTCCATTCGTTGCGTGTGTATGTTTGTTGCATTTCGACGTCATTGTGGCGCTCTCTGCATGGCCTCCAAAATTTTGTTGTTCTTTTTACCGGCTTACTCCCGGTGGATTATTATCAAAGCCCGATTCCTCCCTGCTCAGTCCCAGTTTAAACCACTTTATTAAGCACGGTCGGCATGGCACGCGGATCCCGCGTTCGTCGCGATAGGGCTGATGTGGCTGGAGCTGTGTGGTTAAAGCGGACATGAAGCGCCGGTGAAAGGGCGAGGGCGCCAGAGGTCATTGCATCCGCTTGTGTTTCGCCATGTGTGGCTCAGCTGTTTCTCCCAAGTGTGGTTACGTCGTGGACTCATCACCAGCGGAGAGATGTGATAAGTGTGTGAGCTGTCAATAGGGTGAAACTGCTCCATGGATCAGAGAGTACAGACTATTCAAGATTGATTAAGCTACAACATGTCATATTCTGCCACACTCGTCATCCAACCGTCGTCATTTTTGTCTTTTGAACTACAAATAGCCTCAGCTTGGTATCAGGCACTGCCTTGCTCTCATAGTCGAAATGTGGCCTGGACCGGTCCGCATATTGCTTAGCCCATAGGTTTATTCAAAGTATGCCTTGTTCTTCTCAGGGCTTACCTCGTCTCATACGTTTGGTTGCCAGATGCTTAGGCAGACTTGTTGACTTGCTAGGGTCTTTGGCGGCGGCCTCTTCATTTCAGGCGGTCGTCCGTACCAGGAGTGGCGTGGCCTGTCTCATTTCTAATTGTTGGAGTCCAAGCTCAAGGTCAACCCAGCTCATCGCCATAAAGATCGGTTGGGAGAACTAATCATGGCTATCGACGGTACTCGACTTCGGTTCGCCACTTTACTTTGATACCTACCGTGGAAACTCGTCCAACACGTATTTGCGCTAGCCCGTGTACTTGATGATTTAAGCCTCTCTTGGTATCAAAATCTTGCTGATGTCCGCCACTGATTGAGATTTATAGTCTGAATCGAGGTAAGTATTGGTCGAAAGCTATCTGAGATAGCGGGAGCACGGCCTAGCGTAAGTACGAGTTGGACGAGTTTCTACGGTAGTCTACATTGATTGCATGCGATTGTTCATACAGGTGCTGTAGGAACATGCAAACAAGATATTCATACAAGAACTAACGGGTGACTCATGTCTTAAATCGAGGACTCATTTCGCATGTCGAAGGTACGACAAGGTGCCTAGGTCACGGACTAACACATCTCCTGACGGAATAGAGCATGCTCTTTTGACTGTTATGCCTTGATACAACGCTTGCCTCAATATGCATCATTTGCCTTTGGATAACTCGCTGCGAAAAAAACACGCTTATCCTTCTTTGCCATTCTCGAGTGACTCACTTAATTCTTATTTCGCATGTCAACATAATGCTCTGATTGTTCCGCCGTCTGTAAAATTTCAGAGACTGGTCCTCATGAAAGGCCGCCACATTTCTGCCGAAGAGTCTTTCAATGCTTCTATTGAGACTCAGAGAATCATTCTTGGAGTGACAAGCGGCTTTGCAATGTTAACATACAGAGGGGTCTATTCACCTTTGCTCGCCATTTGTAATTTGAGCCAAGATGAAGAAGTCCTCCTCCAATAGGACTCTTAATTAAATCAGATGCTTTGAGCTCAGACGTATTGTAAAACGTCATATCACTGTAAAGTTTGCTACAAGACGTTGAGTTACTAAGCCGCTCTTCGAAATCTGCTCGTGAGCTGTTGAGATTTGCCACCACCCCCACCTGTCCGGGCCCAACGATTCGAATCGCGTTGGTATTGCGGTAGCATATGGATACTACTTGATTGATGAGATTAGTTAGTCGTTTTGCTAGAGGAACATCCAACTACCGTTCAAGGGCTCAAGTGTCTCTAACAAAATCAAACGTCCGTGTACTCACAGCAGGTATCAAGAAGTGAGGTGTTTAGACAAACGTGATAGCAAAAGAAAGGAGTTTTTGCCTAGCTAACTACTTTGACTAATTGGCCGCATTCACTGGCTAGCTTATATCACAATCTTTTGCGAACCGCCATTAGAATGCTGGAACATTTGCTGGCTTCCCACACTAGACTACGTGAGTACATGTAGCAAAGCCAAAGCCGGACCAATGGTCGAAGGTGTTGAGTACATCGCCGCTGTCAAGTCAATTATCTCAAGACTGCATTGAGCCTACATGTAATCACTTTTAGTTTTGAAATAAGTTGAGAGAAGAATTTCTGCAATAGATGATACGACCAACGGCGTGCTGAGGAAATCACACGTCGGAACGATAATCACCATGTTTCTCATATCTCTTTCTCCCATTTGCGTATCCAGTCCTGTCGAAAGAGTTAAAGTAAGACCTTGGATCCGGCCATCTCGGCTTCCTGTTCAGTTGAATATTTTGAAGTTCTATGGACATCCTTGGCCTCGTCCTCGATAATGCAAGCACGTGCTCTAGGTAAGGCCCGCAAAGCCGACCACTATAAGCGTAGAGCACAACCTTCCTGAGCTCGGGAGCCTAGCTGGGCTGTCTCGCTAGCTCATCAAAGAATTCTTCGTGCACGAAGAGAGTTCTATTGGCAGCTTCGCCAGTTATCTGCAAGTGCTCCAGTCCTGGACAATGTTGACAGAATGCGATCAAAGATCTGTGTCCCAATTGGGTGGTAGCCCGCAATTTGACAGAACGAAGATTAGGGCACGCCGCCGCCAGCCCCACGACAGTGTCGTTCGTCAAGTCTCTGGCGTGGTTATCGGGATGATAGCTGTCGTCCAAGTGTAGGAATTCAATGTGCCACAGGTTACGGCAAACTTTGGGAAAATAGATGAGGTCGTCGATGATTTCGCTGGGGACAATGGTAAGCAGATGCAACGCTACTGAGTTAAGCGGTGCCATGAGCAGAAAATCAAATCTTATTCCTTCTACAATCGAACTGGCCGAGGGTGAATGGGATATGCGTCATTAGATATCAACTTACCGTGTCAGTTGCGTTTCGGTCCCGAGAATAATTTGTCTTGTCGAAGATCCCAGTCTGTTTAGATGTTCCGTTTCCCAACTCCGATTGCCTTGGAAAAGGATACCCTTAGTGCCTTTCTGAGTGTCTGGGCGCCTGATGTGTTTCAATTGCTGGATTGATGATGCTCTTGATTTTGACGGCTGGGGCTCAGAAGCAACAGTGACTGTCTGAGGCACCGGGTCAGGCAAGCCCACTTTGTCCGTCGTCACCAAGTCGATGACGTCGTCTCCTTCCTCAGGTGGACTCGAAGAGTCCGTCGTTGTTGTTGTCATTGAAGAGGCTAGCGCTGTGGTCGATTGTGACATTGGCGGGGGTTCTACATGTTGAGGCGTTCTGGCGTCTTTGGTGCCTTTGGCTGGATTTTGATAGCGCGGGCTAGAGCTTTGTTTCTGTCTACCTTTACGAAGAAGGCTGCAAGAGAGCCAGACTTCTTCGCTGCGGAAGACTTTGCTGTCCGAATTGGAGGCATCTCAAGCAGTAAGTATTGAGGGCCAAAGAGATCATCCCGGCGAGGAAGAGGATGGGAAAGCAGGAAAGGTTAGAGAAGAAGGGGGGGAGGGAGGGTCGAGTGTCAGGCTCCGCCGGATAGGGGATAGCATAAGGGGCAATAGGAGGAGGACCAAGCAACAAAGGAGCAGCTCAGGTATATATAGAGCGCTGAGAGTACAATTCGAGGGAGGGGCAGATTTAGTAATTCATCTTTTAGACCTAACAGCAGTTGGCCTCTGTGAGCTTCTTCCCTGTGTCGTATACCTATTGACATCGAGTTATTAAGGTTCGCGAAAAGTGGAGGAGGCTGGCTCGCTGGCACAACAACGATAGAAGAAGTAGCATTGTCGTCTACCTAGTCTAGGACAGCGATTGAGGGGCATCTGACAAATGCCACGTTCAGTTATTGCTGCAGCTCTGCATTGAGAAGAATGCGGCAGATAGAAATGATATGACATCCGTTCTGCCTTTGTGTTCTGGTGACAGAGATTGCAACATGGCTCGTTGCTAGTAGCTAGTAACCAGAGCCAGAAATAGTACAACGCTACGGCCCTGAAGAGTTACCAGCGTACTATTACCGATTTAGCAGGGGGTAAGGGGGGTCTAACAACAGATCTCTCGTCATTTCCCTACAGTGCCAGATTCGAGATGGGAAGCAGCAATGTTAGCAACGTGGTTTCCGTTCGCTTTGTACACATGCTGAACACTGGCAACCGGCATTGGCAACGCGTCCGTCAGGACCTACTAAGTCCACTGACCAGCTATGGTGTTTTAAATATGAGATGACTTTGCGAAAAGGCGTGCGAGTACAGATGAAAATGGGCAAAGTTGAGCCCGAAGACGAGGGCTCCCTACTATTACTCTTCGTTTCCGGCTCTAAGGCAAGTTCATTATCTTACAGTCGCTGCTGCCCTGGTGTGAGGTGAGGTGTAACTACCATCACTTAGGTTGCAGAACCTCTGTCTTTTTGCACAAGTGACCTGTACACGCGCTTCGTATTGAACGGAGTTTCAGTTGGTGGCATTGATGCAAATCTTGGTCGTGAAAGCCGAGGCCTGGCTCGGTATTCATTTCAGCTGGTGCAACGCCTCGTAGCAGACATATTTTGACGCATGCCATTAACGAGATAATATTCACTGTGGGAGGGATTGTGCACGCTATCCCTATAGTCTGTTATTTGCAGGCGAGATCATTGACGGTGCAGTCCGAATGCTGCGGTTTCGATGTGCAACAGCTCCTAATCACTGAAACGAGGTATCCTCGACCCTAGTAACAAAGCTAATTCGAGCTTCACGAGCTTCTTTGAGTTTCATATGGACGGTCCAATGAAACTACTGGAAACTCCATGTCAGGCGGATCATAGAATGTCATCTTAACGGCGATCAGACTGACCTAGAACATTGCGTAGATCCCCCCGAACCCCACAAGGTGACTATGTGACGGGACAACGTGTCAGACAGGTCAAAGGAAGCCTTTTACGATACCGAATACGTAAAATAGGGCTATTTTTCCTGTTGACAGCGATCACACTGAGAACAAATGGGATGACAGACTAAGATCGCCTGAATCAATCCCTGAGTCAACCTCGGATTTGCCAAGATTCTGGAACATTGGCATGGTAAGAGAATTTCAAGAACCCACTAAAGGACAAATCTGGATCGGCCACTGGAGATAAATTTGGCTACAACTTCCCTCTTATCCAAAGAAAATATCTCATTCATCCCTCGATTGGACTTCATTCATATAATTCTCATTTGTCTGGTACAGAATCGCAGAGCCATATTTCGTACCACCTATCTCGTTAGCATCTATTCAATCATCTGTTATTAAATACCTCTCATCTCATCTACGTCTCCTCATGCCTCAAAATGCGGCTGATTACTCTGACAGCTTGCCTGACGCTTCTAGCGAGCTCGGTATTGGCCCGTAAGTATCTCGCCTCCTATCCGTAGTAAGGGTCGATTTTGGTGTCCTCGTTCGCTGGAACAAAGGAATCGGCTATCACTTGGTAACCGACTTGCTCGAATTGACTCCCGTGCCCGATAAGATATGATTGAACTGTGTAAATGGGGGTTGAACTAAGCCAAAACTAATGAAACTTCTAGAAAGTTGTAACAACGGCCGGGGTTTTTGCAAAGGCGGACGATGCGAGCCTAATAACGACCCGAGCGGCGCTGGCCCGTTTGTCGGTAACTTCAAGGAATGTCAGACTGGGAACGGACGATCTCAAGTCGACGACTTCATCTTGGGAGGTGGTAACCAGGATGCTGAAGTCAATGCTGGCGCTGCTTGTAACAATGGTAGAGGAACCTGCAGCGCTCGCGGTGCTTGCGAACCTAACAACGACCCCAGTGGTGCTGGACCATTTGTGGGAACTTTTGAGGAGTGCTTCAGTTAGAGATGCTAACTTCTTCCCTCAATACAAGCCATCTTTCAATCGTTTGACATAATGGCCCTTGCCAACAACCACAGCCCCAAGCGAGACAGATGTGACAATGTGTTGCCAGTCATCCTGGTCGACGGCGGAGTTTATATATCCTAAGTCCGGCTCCTAATCAGGGGCAGAGGAGCTTATTCAGGACCAGTCATCGATTTCAATCCCCTTGCATGATGGACCACAGCTCAAGCTTAGTTTAAGAGCTAATTCCGAATCACGAATGCTCTGATGGTCAGCAAGCTGCACCAGATGGTGGGCTTAAAGAGGTAGGCCAGTGATCAGCGCAGTGCGGGGTAGCTCTTCGCTTCTCGGTTCCATCACCGACCCGCGCTGTGACCGCTCCAAAGTATGTCGCGATCGGGCTTGATGACGTTTGTGCTGCCAACGTAGCTATTTAGACCATCTCTCTGCCCTTCACAACCTTCTACAACTTTTCAATTAAACAATTTCCTGCCAGCCGGTCTCAGCAGATCATATTCACCCGTACAACGACTTACTCATCAAAAGTTTAGCACAACTCGCAGCAATGGCATCTAAGGAGCTCCCAGCACGCCTGAGGGAAAGTATCGAGAGCACCAAGGTCGAGTACCGCCAGCTCGGAAAATCCGGGTTGCGTGTCTCAGTTCCCATTTTTGGCTGCATGAGTTTTGGAGACTCTCAGTCCATCGACTGGGTTCTGAATGAGGATGAGGTATATTGAACGCTTACGCGATGATCATCGACCAGCGTGGCTAAGAAACATAACATGTAGGCACTTCCGCTTCTGAAGGCGGCGTACGATCGGGGATTGAATACTTGGGATACCGCCAACGCATACTCGAATGGCGCATCCGAGCGGACGATTGCCAAGGCCCTGAAGAAATACAACATCCCCCGCGAGAAGGTGGTCATTTTGACTAAGTGTTTCTTTGCCGTCGGTGAAGAGCCTGGTATGTGACTCGGTGCTTGATGCTGTGACAATCATGGTCGCATCACTGACGAACTTCTCACTTTGTAGAGACTCGTCACTTCAACTACCGCGAGGAAATCAACAAATCAAGGGACTACCAAAACCAATGGGGTTTGTCTAGAGCTTCTATCTTCAACCAGGTGGAGGCGTCCTTGAAGAGACTGGACACTCCGTACATCGATCTTCTCCAGATTCATAGATTTGACCCCAGAACACCTGTAGAAGAGACGATGAAGGCGCTGCACGACTTGGTGCAGACGGGAAAGGTTCGGTACATCGGTGCCAGCAGCATGTGGGGTACTCAATTTGCCCAGATGCAGTTCACTGCTGAGAAGAATGGTTGGACGAAGTTCGTGAGCATGCAAAATCACTACAATCTGTTGTATCGCGAAGAAGAAAGGGAGATGAACCGATTCTGTAATAACACTGGAGTCGGACTCATTCCGTGGGCTCCTCTCTGTAAGTCAATGGCCCTCACATTCAGGTTCGGCTCACGCTAATTGGTGACATCAACTAGGCCGTGGTCACCTAGCCCGACCACCAAAGGACTTTGGCTCCACCTCTCGCAGCAAGACCGAGAAGGAGGGTCAGCCCGGAAGCCATGGAACGGTGGAGCCGGACCTGACCATCATCAAGCGAGTTCAGGAAATCGCGGAGAAGCGGGACTGGCCCATGTCCCATGTGGCTCTTGCATGGATCAACAAACGAATTACGAGCCCCATTATCGGCTTCAGTAGCGTCGAGAGAATCGACCAAGCAATCACTGCTGACGGCAAGGTCCTAACCGATGAGGAGGAGAAGTACCTTGAAGAACTGTACCAACCCAAGGCCATCTCGGGACATGCCTAAGTCGGCCGCGCAGGGAAGGATCTAGATAACCTTTGAATAGTTATGAAGGTAGAGCCAATCAGATCTTTCTTGTAGCCTCCTCCAAATGATTCTGTGTAGCATCAAGAGTACACAAGTTAGCCAGCATCTCCCTGGAAGCTGGCAATGATTGACACTTCCAAGACGTTGACGAAGCTTCACTTCAGCTATCAGCGCTCCCCGATATCTGTCTCCCAGTACTGCTTGAATTACGGTGCCGAACACGAATTCGGAACTATGATGATTTGGATCCTACACAGTAGATTGGCTGAAGCGGTCTTCGTCTGATCTCCCTCAAATCCTCGCAACACAGACCGTCGCAGAACATGAGTTTTTGCCTGATTCGGCGCCGTTGCCCTGAATAACACTATCTCCAATGTAGCCGATGCAGCCAATTCAGGCCGATTTCAGCTCTTGTGGTCCCCCCCTCGTCTACATTACACTACTCATTCATCCAAGGTCGTATCCCAAGTCGCAGCCATCTGATAGCATAATCGCGTGACACCTGCCGACCCATCATATGTGATCTCGCTGCCGAGGGTGGAGACAAACGTGCTTCTACCCATGGGATCGAGTTGCAGGGAGAGCCCCTTGTTGAAGTTCTTGAGAGGTTCAACGAGCAGCCTCCTATCTTGGAATGCTGTCAAATTTTAGAAACACTTCCGTTTCGGGCCATGCGATGCGAAGAATAACCTACAGTATCCGCCACATCGCTACCTCCCGCG